GACTGTGCTGAGCACTGACAAACCAAGAAGTTCCTCTCTGTCCTGCGGGATGTGGGCAGCACAATTGCCAGGCTGTGCTGGTCCCTGTGATGGATCTCGGGCTGTGTGTGCCACAGCTCCTGCAGAGGGTTGGGCAGGCAAGGCTGGCAAGTGAGGGCTGAGCAAGGTTTGACAACCAGGCCAAGCAGATACTCATAGAAAGCTTCTGAGAGACAGGGACACTGTGGGCAAGCAGGATGAGAGTGACAGGGAATGGTCATTGCAGCAGTGCCACTCTGGACAGATAAAGCTGAGCAAGACTGCTCTGGGCCAGGAGGGAAACTGCCGCATTAATCAAGGTGTGAGCACCGAGGCTGCCTTTGAAAACTGCTGACTTGGGCCCTGGGAATCTGTTTTCCATTTATGCTGCAGCTTCTAAAGGCATAAATAAATCCACAGTAAGTGTGCAGTGCTTCCAGTCGTGGGAGAGCGCTGTGTCCTCCTCCAGGGAGCTCTGCAGAGAGGGAAGGTGGCTGGGCTGCTAAGCCTGGTGTTGCTTCCCAAAGTCCAAGTGTTGGATCCACTTGGGATCAGTGCTGACATCTCTTTGATATTGCTTTCTTCAAGGAAGCATCTTCCTGGGGGAGAGAGGCGATGTAGAGAGCCTAAGGAAGGTCTTTAGGGGAGGTAGGTGAGGTCTCCAGGTAATGCCTTTGCTCATCCTTCTGCCTTTACAGGTTTGGCTTGGTTTTCTTACAGTTGTTTCTGTTAATTATCTTCAATTTCTTGGTGATGTGGAAATATTGCAAGGAAAAATGTTCAATAGCTAAGTCAAGGATATCAATCCTTAGCTCGTGAATGTGCTCTTTCATAGTGGAGACTTTTCTCAGCTTCAACAGAGAGCACAGCCCTGAGCAGGCAGTGGGTGATTATAACCTGAGACCTGGGGCTGGGACCTGCTTCTGCTACCAGCTGCTGTGTGACCCTCCACGATGGGTTTTCCTTTTAACTTTATAATGGCATAAAATGAATGTCCTGTGTGAGGCTGGAAAAAGCTCATTATAGTTGCTCTCTGTGTCTGGGGCCTTTTCTTCTCTGTTGAAAAAGGGATGCAGCAGCCATGGCCCAAGGTGGGTTCCTGCTGCTGGGGTGTTGCTCACTGCAGCCCTGAAAAGCCTCTGCTCAGCAACCTGAGCATGGAAAACGTGAGCTGGTCAAAAATTAGTCATTGAGGTGACATCTGGGAAGAGTCATAGCAGCCCTTTTGTAGCCTGAACCCACAGCACGAGTGGTTCTCCTACCCTGAACCTGTGGAGGAGCTGGGATTTCTGCTGTCACACTCAGTTTCCATCCCCTCAGGGCCAGCCTGGGAAAGCTGGCTGGGATTTGGCCTCCAGCACTCCAGCAGCACAGTTTAACCACCCTTCTTCACACACTGCATCTTAATCCTTAATTACAAGCTGCCAGTTATTATCAGCCCTTTGCTACCTCCTTTAGTACCAGGGCGGCTGCCTGGACACTCCCAAAGTGAACACCAAGTTCGTGGGTTAAATGGAGAGATTCTCCTGGGTCTTCAGGTCTATTCAGCTTCTGCAGATCCAGATAATCCTCCTTTGATTTTAAAGCACGGGCACTTTTTTTAGGGAGTTTGTTGTTGTGAGGGAGACTGTTAAAATTGGAAGTAAATGGAGCAGGCTGTGCGTGAGCCTTTCAGACAGCCTGGAGCAATGGCTCAGAGGTGGACCTGACTCATCGCAGCAGGATATTGACTCTGCAGCATAATTATGATGCTTTGAGAACCTGATTTTAAAATAATTGAGGTATAAAATTATGCGCCTGGCTCTCACAGTTACTACAGCTCTGGGTATAAATTGAATAACGGGCTGTACAAATGTGCCACTTGGCTATAGCAGGAACACAGCGAGTCTGGAAATGTCCTGCGTCACCGCTGCTTTCCTCTTGCTGGGAAGCTGGCTGCAGGCTGAGGTTTGCAAACAGCCTCTGGATCTTCCAGTTGTGCAGCCACGGGGGTTTGGCAAATCTATGGAAAGTTCAGCTTGGTGTAGCCAAAATCCAGTGGTGAAACCCTGGCTGTTTGCTAATCCCAGCACGTGGAGCATCTCAAACACCTCTGGCTGCTTCTAGCAATGGGCTGGGTGCAGACAAATGCCAAGGACACTTCTGGGATTTTGACACCCATTTTCCAGAGCTGTGTGGTGGCTGCCCTGCTTCCAGGAGTGCTTTTTCCTCTCTCCCATCATTTCTGCAGAAAAACTCCCATGTTTTGTTCATACAACACAATGTGAAGTCTTGCTGAGCTTTGATTCTCCATAAGATCCCAAGATTTTGGAAGGAAGTCACTGTCCTCAGTGAGTTGTCTGAAAGGGCCATTTTGTCACCTCTTTCCCACCTGGAATGGTGTTCCCCCCAGATCTGAATTTGGTGAAATCCCATGTTTTTATTTCATGGTTTGATACCTGGGCTCCACTTCTCTTGAAAGGGTAAGAGCAGGTTATTTTCAACTCAAAGACAACCCAAACTGCAAACTTACCTCGATAATTTTCTTTTTTAAAAAGTAAAACCAGGCAAACAAGTCAAATTTGTTCTCTTTGTGCCTTCTTCAGGGTCTGCTGCTGCCTGCAGTCCTGTGGGCTGAGCCCAAACATTGCTTTTTAATCATTGACCACAGGGAAGGAGAAACCTGAAGGGAACTTGACACTGAACCCTCAGCTCCTGTAGAAGCTGAGCAGGAGCAGGAGCCAGTGCTGTGACCATACAGGCTCTGCATGCCAAGGCTGCTGCTGTGCCTGCTTGGGGCCAAAATGTTGGGACTTTTAGCCTGTAATAAAATAAACCCTCTTGTGTCTCAGCCATCTGAATTATTACCTGACTGGCACTTCATTATAAACACATTTTTTCCATGTTGGTACTGGTTTCTTGCCATTTTACTGCTTTTTAGGTTCTATTTTTTGTTTTATTCATCTCTTCCAATCGATAGAAATATCCTGTTTTTAGCAAGCAGCAAAGGCGGACGTGACTGATGTCCTTATGATGGAGCAGAATCACTTTCAGAGCATTTGGGGAACAAGGGGAGAAGCTTTTAAATCTAATTTTCAAAGATCTCTAAAGCACAACAAACTGTTTAAGATGTGTAGCTGAGTCTCCCACTGCCATTAGCTCTAAGAACTGGGATCCTGGAGTTGGCACCATTGCAGATCTGGTCCTTGAGATCTATCCTGTGGTGGTAACTGTTGTTCTTTGCCATGACACTAATTAAAAACCACTTAATGAGATTATCTCCACCTGTTCTGGAGGATTAGTTTGATGGAGGAAATCCTGCACGTGTGTGTGGATGCACACACTTCCGTGCAGAGCTCAGTGGAGGGAAGCACAGTTTTCTCAGAATTGTTCTCTACAGGCTTTGCCATAGCAGAGACTTTTTTATCCTCCCCTCCACGCGCACAGATTGCTCTGACAGCAATAAAATGCGGCAGAGAATTGAATTTGGAAATAAATTGTTTAGATGATGCAGCACCAGACAGATCACTATTCCAGAAGAGTCAGTCCGGGGTGGATTTGCTTTAGTGCCAGATAAGAAATGTGGCAGTCACAGGGAGGGGAGCTGGGGGCTCTGTGGCACAGGGCTGGGTGTCCCTGGGCAGTGTCCCTGGGCAGTGTCCCCGGGCAGTGTCCCCACGTGTGCTCAGCACTGGGGCAGCTCTGGCAGAGACGTCGCAGTAAACCTGGGTTATAAATACTGAGTGTCGTCCCTGGTTGCTCTGTGACCATGGGCATGTGTTTGAACCTCTCTAAACCTCGTAAAAGGTTGGTGAAGTGTTGTGCAAACACTGACTGGCACTAAGGGCTGCTGATAGTGGTGTGGTTTCCTGGTTCCCACATCATGGTTTAATCCACAAGATAAATTGGTTGGGTTTATTCTGTTGGTTGTTTTCACCAGTCACAGAGTTTGGAGCTGGTTTGGCTGCAGCAGCTCTCTCTGAAGATATCCAATAAGCAGGCACAGCAGGAAGGTGGATTTTGGTGACAAGAAGGAACCAAGTGAATGGTTTGTGTGCTATGAGAGCCATCACCAGATCCTGCCAAGGCTATCTCGGGCTGATAACAGACTTTGCTTCTTGTGTCCTCTTTTCCTCACCAGCCATCCTTTTATTTCCCCCTTCCTTACATAAAGTTATTGTCTTTATCCACAGTCCATAGAGGGTGTTAAAGGTATTTGAAAAGTTCCTGCTTTGACCTGTGATATAGTTAATGCTGTATTCCCTGAATTCTTAACCAGTAATTCTGTTACAGTGCCTTGAGGCAGGGTACAATGGGATTTTTTTCTGTTGCAGTTTGATCTTTGTATTTTCAGGCAGTGGGAGTGTAAAAATGAGCCTGACAGAAGTGACAGGAGGATCTTGCCAGCAGACTGTTTTGGAGGTGCAAAAAAAAAGGGGTCCTACCAAGACTATAATTCAGAATAAAGCAGAGAAGAAAAGTACTTTTCTGCTGTCTTTATTCTTTGAATACAAAGGTCTTTTTTCATCATGTTGTTACTGAGGGCTGAGGAAGTTGAATTATTGCTTTTCTTGGTACTAAATGAATTTGAGAGGGTAAAACCCGATGCTTTTGAGAGGATGCATGTCTGGTGTGTTGCTGGCACTGGAGACTGTGGGCAGCAGCAGATCTGCCTATTCATTTGGAGCTTTTGTCACATCTCTTCCGTGGAGATGCTGTTGAATATGAAAGTCTGTTATGATGGCAAAGGTCAGGAGGGTAATAGCTTTGATGGTATCCCCTGGAGCAAATCAAAATTCTTTTGAAAGATTCTGTTCAATTTGATATCAAAGGTCTGGTAGCACTCCAGGGATTCTTCTCTCTGCTATTACGCTTATAGCTATTACAAAAATTAATGTTTGCCTGTTGTTGGTTTTGTTTTTTTTCCTAAATAAGATGTTCTGCCATAAGAATGGAAAATAACCACTTCTCTCTTTCCTCCCCCTCCTTTCTGTCTGTTTCAGGGATCCTCGATGCATTTCCTTGCCATTATTTAAGGAGCCTTTACTAAAAGCTTTTGGATTGTGTTTCTGAGCAGACAAGAGATTTTTGTATCCAAAATGCTCATAAAGGAATATCGTATTCCTCTTCCGATGAGCGTGGAAGAATATCGCATCGCCCAGCTCTACATGATCCAGGTCAGGAAAATCTGGGGGCTCGCTCTGGGCTGGGGGAAACTTGCTGCAGGATTGGAGAGTTCACTTTTGGATTTTGCTGTTTGCTTCTAAAGGAGTAACGGGGAACGTAATGCAAACTTCCATTTCTGACTTGCTTCTTCTTCTCTTTTAATTGGAGAACTTCTGTCTGACCTACTTGGGGAAACAACAATTCCTGTGGAAACACTCGGCCCAGGTGTGTGGGTACCTACTGGAAAGGGCATAAACAGCCACTGCTTCCCAGCTGGGTGCTGGTTACTGGTTGTGCCAATTCCAGTTGCAAACCAAATTCTGTTCTTTTCTTGGGAAGCAACAGTCTAATATAAATTTGAGAGGGTAAACCAAAAGTGTAACTTGGAATTAAGGGAGGGAAAAAAATTAAATGTAATATAGCTGTGCTTATATACCACAGTGAAATAGATACTAATCAGTTTAGGCATAAAATGTAGATTATTTTTAATGGCTCCTGAATACTGATGGGAATTTTTGCAGAATTCCCTATCTGCAGTAAAGCAGTTAATTAAAATGTTGGGTTTTTGTAACTAAAATCCTCTGTGCCCATATTCTCCCAGTGTTTGAAATCCAACCAGGAGCACTTATAAAAGGAAATGAATCTGCAGTGTTATTTCATTGTCCCACACTTTAAATAAAATGTAATTTTGCTCATCCAGCAAAACACACATCTAATATTGAGTTTGCAGGAGAACTCTGCTTTCTGAACTGGGATGAAGCAGTGCTAGAAAAATCTGCTTTGGCTTAAAACCTAAAATAAGGGGGAAAAGCAAACCCCTCAAACCGAAGGAAAAGCACAACTCCTCCATTGCTCTCCTGACCACCCAGCTGTGTTTCCTTAAGGATTCATGCACTTGGGCTTGGCTATTAAATGAATGTGTAGTGTGTATTTAGCAGGAATAGTGGTCAAATTCCATATTCTGACACGAATGTGCCATCTTTGTGTGTTTAACTTAAATCTTGGCATAAACAGGTAAACATTTGTCATTTTTTGGTACCTTTTCCTGATGCTGCAGCTGCTTTGAATATTGGTGGCATTATTTTGTTAACAACTTTGTCTTCCTAATTTGTCTCAGCTGCTTTGCATGAAGAGCTGGTGGATGGCAGCAGAGTATTATCTGTGCAGAACTTGTCAGTGAGCAGCAGAGTGTAGGGGAGAGTGATCTGATTAGGAAGGAGGAGCCCACCTGATTAAACAGAGGATGAATCCTTAATTGGGGAATGTCTCTGGGGCCTCCTGGGAATTCTGGAGGAATTGGTCAGGGAGGTGGATTTGCTTTTTAATCTCAGAAGTTAAACTGCTGATTTTAATTTCCTTAATGCAGAGCACCAGGTTCTGGTTTGTTACTTGACAGGGATTTTGGCCATCTTAACATCAAAAGGACACGAGAAGCCATAAGGGTTTCATGCAAGAGGAAGTTCAGCAGCTTGAGAAAATAACTTCTCCAAATTGCCATCCAGCCCTGCTTTAATCTTCTACTGCATTGACAGGCAGCAGAGTAAGGTTTCCTCTTAGATCAGGTGTCAAATCAGGTTTCTGATCTCCCTCCACCCTCCTGGAGCAGGGGGCTAAGCTGGAAACACTCCATGGCCCCCAAGGTGTGGGGGAGCTGGAGAGTGCATGACAAGCAAGGCTCTTTGCTGTGTTGCTTGTACGAGTAGCACAAGAGGAAAACTTAGCTGTGCTCTTCCTTGAGAATGCTAGTTCCAGCTCAAGTCTGAAAAAAACCAAAAAGCAATAACAAAACAAAGACCATGTAGGGTAGAGTTTGTAGTTTGGTAGTGATTTGCTTCAATTTTTCCTGAAATTGGTGGAAAGATTCCTGCTGGCTTCAATGGGAGCTTTTCCTAGACCAAGATATCAAATGTTTTCTTCAGTTTGATTTAAAAGTGGAGGTTTTATCTTTGAGACAGGCTGAGGAAGGAGTAGTGAGGAGCATGACTTTGTCTTTTTCAGAGAATGTGAAAGTGCTTCATGTCTATCCTTTTATTTTTCCTCTGAAATGCCTGGAGAGGCCACACAAAAGTTCTGTATGTTGAGCCCCCTTATGGGAACAAGCTGAGCTATCCGTGCAAAGCAGCAGAGAAGAGGCATTTCTGAGAAATCTGGGGCTGAAATGTAGAACAGAATGTTTTGAAGTAGTTCCTGAGAAGAGGAGCGATTCTTAAAAGCAAAAGGTTAATTTCTAAGACATTTGTCATGTACAGAATGGTGGCATTATTGCTGGAGGCACCAGGCAGCCTGGTCCTGTGAGAGCACTCCTCCAGCAGTGGAAAAGGAGATGTCACTTGTTCTTTAAGGGTTTTAGGAGCCTCAAGCACATACCTAGAGCTGATCACTCGTTTGCCTTCGATCTCATGAATGAAAAATTCCCTTAAATTCCAAACCAGTTGGTGCAAAGCTGCCTTTTTTTTTTTTTTCCTCCCCTTGGTATAAATTTTCCTAGATTTCCTCATTGTCCAAATGGAAGTTTTCCAAAAGGCCCTTCTCCCCTGAGCCCTGTGGTGGAGTGGTGCCTCAAAGCCATGTGGGCAGGGATGTTCAGACTCAAGCTGTAGTACTGTCATGACTTTTCAAAGGCATTTTCTTGTAGATTTTTGCTTTGCAGTGAAAGGATCAATCATCAGTTTTCCTGAGAGAACAATCCCTTCTCCTTATTAGAAGTCTCAACAAAACTTTTCCACCAGATTTGATGTAAGCAGCATCATGGCCCAAATAGCAAAGGATCCTTCCATTAAATGGGAACAGGCTGTACTCATATTTGCTGTGTTTACTGGGTGGGAGAATTAAAATTGTGCAGTATATAATCCACATCTCTCTTGCTTCTCTGCGCCACTGGGCAGGCGAGACATGAAATAAATCATTGTGTGCATGCTTGTGTTCCTCTGTAATTCCTCTTATAACTACAAGTTCTCCAGGTTGGTGTATAAAGCTGTGAAAACTGAGATGAGTGGCCTGCTGCTTTTCTTTTTTTTTCCTTTTTTTTTTTTTTTAATTTGAGGTGAGAGAGCAAAAAGTCTCCTAAGTTGCTTTCTGCTGACTTCTGAAATATTATCTGCAGTCCGTGGTTTCAGTACTTTAAGTAGCACTTAAATTCTTCCCTAAATAAGTTAATTTTACATTACAGCAAGGACTTAATGTACCCTCGACTTGCTTGAAGCCTAGCAGATCTGAACTGAATTGTTTTTCTCTATTAAATTTCAGACTTTCAATATCCTTCCACGGGAAAACTCTCACGCAGCATTGTCAGCCCTTCCAGGGTGGGAGCCCTTGCTGCAGAGCAGTTAGATTTAACTTTTCCATAGGCACAAGGCCTTTTTGCATCATTGCAGAGGTTTTGTCTCTTTTGAGATCCAAATTAAAACATGCTCATTTTTCTGTCTGAGCTAAGAACCAACATTCTTCCTTCCTGCTGTGACCTGGTTTTATTCTGGTGCATAAAACAGGCAAAATACTTCAAAACAGTGAAATCACTCTTTGTACCTCTACTAATGTAACTTTTCCCTGAAATCTGTGTGCACATTTAAAAGCCAGTCCTGCTTCCAAGGGTGGCAGTTTCTCAATGAACTCAGCCTGGAGAGTTGTCCATGGCACTGGGAGTGGCTTGATCTGGGAAGTTGCAGGCTGCTGTCCTAAAGTAAGCAGAGAAGAACTGGAGATGGGCACTGGAATGAATTCTGTGAAACACAAACCAGTTATGGAGGGAACAACTGTAACCATTTGTAGGGATTTGGTTCTTCCTGCAGAAGTTTTGAGCCAAGGACTCTGTCCTGGATGTCTTCTCAGACTGTGCACATCACATCTGAGGCGTGTGTGCTATTTCAGTCTCTGTGAGGTGAATCCTGTTGGTCACAAAGGGATCTGTGTTACACATTAGAGAGATCTTATTAAAGGGTCTCTTAATTCTTCCTCTCCTGAATCCTGCATATTTTTGTCTCAGCAGCAATCCTTTCCTGGAACATTGGCATCCTTTCCTTGTGTGTTCAGGGCCCCTTCCTTTCTGTATCCTTCCTCCTCCTCACCCCAGAAACAATGCACACATTAAAGTAAAGTCTCTGTTTCATAAAAGCTTGGAATACGAGCCCTGAATGCATTTGTTGAGATGTTATTAGCCAAAGGTCAGTCCTTTTATCATCTTAATAACGTTCATTACTGTGCTTCCATATGCCATGAGATTCCGAGAGACTGCTGCCCTTCTGACCCTTTCATAAGACAAGAGAATTCCTCTTGTTATTAAAACTTATTTTTATATCAGTGTGCGCAGCTTTCTCTGGGTATTTGTGACCTTCCTCCAAAGATAGTGTGCTTTAAAAATATTCTTCTGCTGGACCTAGTGATTACCTTTTGAGGATGAAACTTATTTTAAGATGCAGCATCATCCTTTTAAGTTAATAGCGTTAATACTTTGTCATTCATCACTTTGAGGGTCCATGACTGGGAAAGGCCTCTGGCCCTGTTTGAGGCACTGCATGGAACAAACAGAACCCATCTGCTTAGCACTGCCTGCTGAACTCAGGCAGGATCCTGGGAATTGAGGGCTTCTCTCATGTTTTAACATGAGCCTCTCCTCTGCTGTCCTTCAGGGCTTTGCATTTATTGCCTTCCCTGCAAAACCAAAGTGTTTTCCAAGCATCTGCAGTGTGCTGTGCTCTCCTGTCCTGACTGCTGATGGAGAATCCTGAGTCACTTTGCTCCTTTCTGGAGGATCATGATTTGTCCATCATCTCAGTTTCCAGACACCTGCACTATCCTGCTTTTCCCTCCATTTCCACGTAGCTCTCAGGAAACACCTTTGAGAACAGGCTTAAAACTGCTTGGTGCTGCTGGTAATTCTTGAGGCCCTGTCGTGATACCCAGATGCAAGAGTCGTGTCCCTTAAACCCCCAGCTCTGCTTGGCACTTGCCAGCAGGCTCAGCAGATGGTGAAGGATTGATTGAGTGGGGGAAAGCAAACTAACCCTTCATCTCT